CGTTTTTAATATTTTTTTTTTTTTTTTTTTTTTTTTTTTTTTTTTTTTTTACTTCTTTATTTTTAACAACAGACACTTTACAATGGAATTGTCCAAATATAATTCAGAAGAGTCACGTTTGACTAATAAGCAAAACAAGTGAAAAGGGAACAAATGTGGCATCTGGAAAGAGAAGGAAAGCAAAAGGAGGAAAAAATGAGGATTGGAAGAAAATGTTTATGCGACATTTTATTGCTCGGGATGTCAAGGGTTAACGGGAAACCCCACTCCATCGCGGGGTTCCATTACACACTGAGAAAGTTGGGTCAAATTGACCCAAGCAGCGAGTCGATCCCTTTTTTGGGCGGGAGGGGGAGCAATAACGCATTTTTCTAAATTGCTCAATCGGATGAATTCTATGCGCTAATACGAATCTCTGTTTACGATTTGGCTTTTTGACATAACTGCGCCGTGGCTGCCACTTGAGAGCTGAGAAACTTCGCGTTGGGTCGCTTATGCTCATTAGCCTCACTATTGATGTCACAATCTGGCAAAATGGAGGTGGAATTTGCCAAACGAGTTCGCTAACAAACGAGATACTAGCTTGTTAAATTTCACACCTGGTAGAAGGCCGCAGAAAGCCATCCAAGAGTGAATTTCCTGTAATTTGTCAATACGTAATGTGAAGTTATAAGCAAATTGTACACAATGTCGCAGTACAGAGTGTTCTCCCAAGCTTATTCTGTTGTGGTTTGGAGCCGGAGTGAAGTGGAAAACAGCAACAATGGAAGGAAATCCCCACTGGGACCTTGATAGCCAGCGGAGTCACCAGTGGTGGACGCTTTATATTTATGAACCGGCTTCAATATTTTCGGACGCATATTTGATGAAGGGAAAATCGCTAGAAAAGCATCAGATAAAACAAAAAAGTCACCGTGGGGAGGGTGGTGGTGGTGGGGGGAGCGGATTGTTTCGTCAAGGAGGCGATCGATCCAGAGGAAACGACGCCAAAGGGAAACAGCGCTACGTAGATAAGCTATGCTAATTTTAAAAGAGGGGGAAGGAAGCGTGACTGCCAAGTTTCCTCCAGACCGACTGGACAAAGTCGTGCAAGAAGCAGAAGCTGCTTGCTCTTAAAGGTCGGGGGGGAAAACGCTTTGCAAAGATGGCCCAGAATGAAACGCATCCCCTTGTGGAAATCCTCAAATCCTTTAATACGGGTGAGAGCGGCTCTGCTGCATGATTTCTATGAAATGTTTTGGAGATAACAACTCATTAGTGGAGACTTTTTTTAAAAAAAATATGCGTGCAATGTAATCAACAATTGGTGGGTGGCTGGCTTGCTGTTGACCTCAAGGACCGTGCGAGTTCGTATTGCTTCTTTTGGCAGCTACCAAAGTTATAAATCGAGATTTTAAACTCTCCGATAATGTTTGTTTGGTACCTCAAAAACGTTCACAGGTTTTCAGTAAATTAAAAAAAAAAAATACAATTAGAAGGAGAAATTTTAACCTTTATCCTTTTTTAAAAATATATATTTTAAACTCCTACTATGTTGCAGGCCAAATGAAGATGTGTTTTCAAGAAAATTCAGAAAAACAGTATTTTTAAAATAAACACATTCATAGCAATAATAGAAGGGAATAAAATGTCCTAAAAAAAACGTTTTCCACAAACCGGACTCCAATGCAGTTGTGACGTTCAACTGCGTGAGAAAATAGCCAAACCGTTTGAGGATAATGTTCAATTACAAGGAAGTTAAGGATTTCATGTTTATAAAACTCGACTACGCAAAGCAAAAGCCATTTCTCAACAGCAGCCAGAAACGAAATCAATACATATTTTTCTGCCTTTATGAACATGTCTATTGACCTGCTTATTTTACGAATAAACTTATAGACAGTTTGATACCATTTTGTCTTTGTTTCTTGAAATGTTCGGTATCCTCTTCAAACTATTTCATAAATGCTACAATGCCCGAATAGCGAATAGCCAAAATGCAGCTCATATGGGCTGCAAAAATGTACTTGGACAATCGATTTTTTTTTTTTTAAATCATCCTGAAGCTTTCAAAGCACGTTAAACCCACACAGCAGCGGAAGAGATTGAAGGTTTGATGTAACATGCCAACTCCAGCAGCAGAGCCACGTGGGCTGTGTGCGCCATTGACAAATTCAAAGATCACGTCAAAATAATCCCAAAAAAGGAGAACATAAACCCCACAATTAATAAGCATCAAGTCATTTAAAGAGATGATGAGGGCAACTGCATTACTTCCGATGTAGTTTGTAATTTTCCACGTTCATTTGTATTTTGCACTGATTCCTCTGTTGACAGTCAGGTTCATAAATATTGGGACACCCGGCTGCCAATGGAAGTGGTTCCCTTGCATTTAGTCATCATGTGTTACTGCTCGCAGAATGAAATCTGAATCATTACCTGCTCATATTTGGCCAAATACTTCAGAACTCTTTGGACGGCGCTTCTCAGTGTAGATGGACAATATCCCAAAGCACCCTAGGAAAGCCACCAAAGAGATTTAAATTTTTTTTTTTCTGTGTTAAATTTGATTTTTAATGACTCCTCTTTGGGACCGATTCCCGTTTTTTTTTTGTTTGTTGCATTGTCTTCCACCCAGGCGACATGATCCTGGCCTTCTGCTTGTCGGTGCTGGTGGGCCTGCTTCTGGGCGCTCTGGTTTACGTCCTGCTGACGTGGGCGTCCCGCCGCCGAGCCACCGCCCTCATCACCCGACGCTCCCGCAAGAAACCCGGCAAATCTTCGCGCTCCCAAATCCCGCCGGACGGCCAGCTGGGCCTCTACCGGAGCACTTTCCTCGGTGTCTACCGCCAGCCCTCGCTGGAGCCGGTGGGGCCGCTGGGGAGCAAACCGGGACCGGAAACGTCCACGTTTCGACCTGTGCCCAGGAAAGGCAGTCTGGAGATGGGGGAGGACACCCGGGTGAGCCCGCCCGAGGACTCGGCCGATTCGGCGGCACTGGTTCCCGACAAGCGCCACTCCTTCTGGCTGGGCGGGAACGGACTCAAGGGGTTCCTGCCCTCGCAGACGCCGCCGCCCGCCTACAACAGCATCATCCACGCTTTCCAAGAGTCCTGCACTTGAAGCCAGCCACAGCCAAGTTCTCAAGACTTTGGAGATTCTATCCGAAGGAAGAGTTGTTTTCAAGACCCTGTGAAGTCAATTCAGAGATTTTATCTCTAAATACAGCATTTTGGGGGGCCGGGGGGGGGGGCGTCGATACAAGGGACAGGATTTAAACTGAACGACATGTTTTTAAAACTGCCATAAGAACAGCCCCCGCTAGCTTTATGCTAACATATAGTGGAAAAGACCATGACATGCTCACAGTTAGCATTAATAGAGGCCATTTTACAACACTTTGAGCAACAGATATTTGAACAGAAATGTTCGAACAGATCACCAAATATTCACAGGCATAATATGAAAAATGGCCAGCATGACAGCAATTGACTGAGTCATAGCAGAAGAAGTCGATTCTCCCTCGGTTGTGTCTGCATGGTCGCGTTATAAAATACTGCCTCCTGGTGGCCAAAGCGGGCACACCGGAAGGAGCACCACAGCATTAAATCATGATGCACCCACTCTTTCATGTTTTACATTCTATTTAATTTGTTCTTACTCCGTTTTTCATAAAATACAAGAATATAGAGTTTTAATTTCCCTTATTATGAACAACGAAACCAAAAATAGGATTTTGGGCTAGAATGCATTAATGGCATTTCCATTCATTCCAATGGGGAAAGGTGACTTGAGATATGGATTTTTTTGAGTGTAGGCATTGAACGACTGAAACTTAAGGATCTCAAGGAACCATTGTATGTTATACATGTATAAAAATAAATTCTGAAAGGACTGAGAACTATGTTAGTGCTCACTCCAGATGTTTTTTTTTTGGTGGGGGGTGGCGTGGCTAAAATGGCCTGTTAATGAGAATGATATAAAAGTCCATTTAACAAGATGAAAATGCTGCAGGGAGAGCGCCTTCGGAGATGTGAGACCAATCTCAAATCCGTTTTAGTAAACACGGGTCAAATGTGACCCGGGACACATCCCGAGTACACAAAGATGAACATTTAAAATATTTTTCTGCTCAGTGGGTTTCTTCGGCTCTGTCTTTACTTTCTAATTTCTCAACATCAGAGGTTGCCAGTTGCGTGAAAATCCCCCTCCACCCCCCTTCCGCCAAACCAAACTCCGATGAATAATGACATTAGATTTAACCACGCAAAACCCGCCCTCGCAATCACTTCGAGCGCATTTTCGTGGTGTTTTTCGATTCAATGATGTCCGCCTTGCAATTCGGCGTGCGTCGAACGGGTCTGCCTACCTGATGGCAACCCGCTCGGGAAGCATCCCCCCTCCCATCTAAAGTGCGCAAACGGAGGAGCGGACTGCAAGGCGACGCGCTCGCTGCAGCCAGCCAGCCAGCGCCTGGATCTGCATCACCCGCATCCCCGGTACGAACGACTGCATCGTGCTTGTCCTTAGAACGCATATTTGGATGATTGACGCTAAATGGCGCTCGTCTTGTTGTCTTTTTTGCACCGTTAGCGTATCCTGCTGTTTTTTTTTCTTCTCCGCTATCACTCCCAAACCTGAATGCACGGAATTGCTTCCATGAATATGCACGTGTGAGGAGGTGAAAACGATGATCTGCACGTGAGGCATTCATTCGTCTGTGTGATGATGTCAGAATGGGATGAACGGGCTGTGTTTGTAGGCATGGAGACGGGCCAGTTCTGTCAATGCGAGCCTGCTGTTGCATAGAGACACATTTATATATACAAAAAAAAAAAAAAAATGGTGACTCAAGGTTGATACTGCGTAATGATGATTATTTAACCAGAGCGACATCCCTTCTCGGGTAGGATGGATTTGGTATTTTTTTTAAATCTCAATAAGTATCAATTGCAACAGGACAGAGACGGGATGGGCCAGTGGCGTCAAACTCTGAGCTGAATGGTCACCAAGCCCGTCACGTCCACTCCGTGAGTGACTAAGTGAAGAGAGGAAAGCGAGAAAGCCAGCAGATCGCCAGCGTCCACCTTGGAAGCTTTTCATCTGAATGGAAACATGGACGCCTTCCACGGAGGCTTTTTGACTCAACATGTCCAGAAGCTATGAGGTGGGTGATTGACACGCCATTCCGCAAGCATCGTTGCCGCATCGTCGCTGGAATCTGTTCAGAAAATCGAAAATGAACATGGGCGCAGGCTCTGCATTGTCGGTTGAATAAACAAGATTTACCCGGCTCTGGATAAAGCTACGCGGCTGTCGTTGAATAGCCAGTTGACTGTGCGCCCAATTTTTTCCAAAAAAATCGAAATGACCGCAAATAAACACAGGTGCCAGTCAAGCTATGCGGTGGCAGATAGTCGGCTTGGTCAGTTCAATGTGTCAAAAATATGAATTCACACGGACAAATGAAGGCTTCTGCTAAAGGTGTGCAGCTGTCGACATCGGTCAAAAAAAACTACATAAACCCGATTCCGTATTGAGCTATGTGACCGTCACTGAATCAGTCCCCAAAAAAGAAAGACCAAAAAAAAAAAATCTACAACACAACTAAAGACAGGTTCAGGTGGCGCTATGCCGTCATCAACAAGTTCATTTGAATCCGTCCGAAATGAAAATTACACAAATGAACGCAGGCTTCGGAAAAAGCTTTGTGGCCATTTGTAAAGCCGGAAAAAGATGTTCAAAAATGTCCAGTAATATTGACGAATGCATGCTCTGGCCCAAGCGACGTGGCCATCTGCATCATCTTTTGAATCCGTCAAGAGTGGAGATTAACATCGATAAAGACCGGTTCCGGTGAAGCGATGCCGAAGTCCGCATCGTCGATTGATTCCATGAACAGTGAGGCGGGTCCTTTCGTCTCTCGAGAAGACATTCAAGTCTAGTGCCTGTGCTTGATGACATCATCATCTTGGGCCACCGTGACTGTTGCCATGGTGATTGTTCTGTTTAGTCATCCAGCGTCAAACTCGATGGTTCTCATTCTCAACCTTCGAGACGACCTTTTCTTCGAGGGCCGAGGTATTTGTGTTTTTTTTTTTTCCCCGCATTCGAGAATATATGGAAACCTACAGGGCGCATGAAGCGCTACGCTATTAGTGACTTCCTTTTGTTTTCTTTTCCACTTCTTTATTTGAAACCCTGACCCAAACTAGAAACCCTAAGGCCTGTTTGAAACCCACATTTCTTAACACCCTACTTTGCAACCCTAATCCTTATTTGAATCCCTAAATTAAAACCCTAATCCTGATTTGAAACCTTAACCCAGCCTTGAAACCCTAACTTGGAAGTCTAAACTTACTATGATTTCAAACCCGCCGAGCCTTGTTTGAAACCCAAACCTTGGCTTCAAAGCCCAATTTCACCGCCTGAACTCTGCTCGAAACCCGAACCAAGGCTAAGTCGAAAGCCCCGCTGCGGTCAATTGTGAGCCAGCCGTCGCGTCAGACATTTGATGTGTACCTCGCGGAAGTGTCCGGTGAGGCCGGCCTAACTCGGTTTTGGGGCGGCGTGTCTCCCGTGCAGCCGGGCCACTCAGTAGGGATGTTGGCGGCCGTGGAACACGGTCCCATCCTGTGCAGCGACTCCAACATCCTGTGCTTGTCGTGGAAGGGCCGCGTGCCCAAGAGCGAGAAGGACAAGCCCGTGTGCCGCCGGCGCTACTACGAAGAGGGATGGCTGGCCACGGGCAATGGCCGCGGCGTGGTGGGCGTCACCTTCACTTCCAGCCACTGCCGCCGGGACAGGAGCACCCCGCAGAGGATCAACTTCAACCTCAGGGGGCACAACAGCGAGGTACGACCCACGCGCGCTTTGGCCTTTGACCGCCAACGGGTTCCAAATAGGGCGAAGGCGACCGTAAGCGGTGAGAAAAGACGAAAAGCGTCATGCTAATCGGATGGAAAACAGGACAATTAGCTTAGACCAGGACACGGAACATAAGGGGACCAAATGAAACAATGAACAAAAGAGGGGCACCGAACGAGCACAAGCGTACCAAATAGAACGGGAAAAAAAAATGACATGAACAGAAGGCGATACGATTGACTGAACAAAGGTTGCCCAATGAACAAAACGGTACCAAATAGAACGAAATTGATGATGACCATAGAATAGCAACTGAATAGAGGCGTACCAATTTCTGCATCAAGTGAAAATAACCGCAGCAGTGATGCAAAACAGGAAACGTGCGACGATAACCATAGAAGAAGAAACGGAAGAGGTGTGCGCCAAATGATTGAACAAAAGGGTAGCAAGCGGGAGAACAGGAAATGACATCATCCCATACATGCAGCGATTTGCCCGAATATGCAACTCAAAAGCAGACGGGAGTCACCTTTGTGTCGTAGGTGGTGCTGGTGCGCTGGAACGAACCCTTCCAGAAGTTGGCCACGTGTGACATGGAGGGAGGAATTTTCGTGTGGATTCAGTACGAGGGAAGATGGTCGGTGGAGCTGGTCAACGACAGAGGAGCCCAAGTAAGTCTCGGCCGCTTAGCGCGCCGTGAACTCGCGCGGGCGCAGAAGCTTGAACTCGAGGGATGACGGAGATCAACTTGCGGATCCGAATGCAAACTTTTTAGTCCGGTCCGGCACTCCGCTTTCACCCCGAACGCTGACAAAAAATGGTCACGTTGTGCCGCAGGTGAGCGACTTTACGTGGTCCCACGATGGCACTCAGGCGCTCATCGCCTACCGCGACGGTTTCGTGCTGGTGGGCTCGGTCAGCGGCCAGCGGCATTGGTCTTCAGAGATCAACCTGGAGAGCCAGATCACCTGCGGCATCTGGACGCCCGACGACCAGCAGGTACTTGCAGACACACGCGACCCATATACGACTTCAATGAAAAACTAAAGCACCGTCTCACGCTGCGACTGAAATGGTCTCTCACATACACGCTGAAACTGAAAACTACAAATCAAGACTCGCGCTGAGTCGAAAGCCAATGAATAAAAATACATTTTAAGCCGAGTTTTAAAGCTGGGCAGTGAGACGGGTTTGCCGAATGTTCATTCCAAAGAGAGGAACCAGCAACGGAAAAGGGTACATCCCCTCTGAGACTCCTCTTAGTACCTCTAATGTGTCTGGTCCGTAGACCTGATGCACTGAGTGGGGGCGGAGGAGCTCAGAGAGGTAAGGTCAAATCATCGGATCTTAAATAGAACTCTAAAATGTAGAGGGAGCCAGTGAAGGGATGCCAGAGTAGAAGTGAAGTGCTCCCTCCTACGAGCTCCAGTTCGGAGGCGAGCAGCAGCATTCTGGCCCAACTGGAGCTGCTTCATGGAGGCTCGGCTGTTTCCAAAGTAAAGTGTTATCCAGTTATCCAGTTGAGATGCGACAAAGGCATGAATGACTGTTTCACAGTGCTCTTGAGAAAGGAGACGCTTGACTTGAACCAGCTGCCTAAGATGAAAAGAAGAACCACCAATTTGCCGGTCCAATTTCAAATCACTGTTCAGTTTAAGACCCAAGTTCGAGACTGCTGGCTTAAAATAAGGGGTTTGGGGGCCCAAGTCCGCAGGATGGGATGTACAAGCGCCACTGTCGATTATTTTACTCGATTGCTCGGTTAATCGCCCGGCCTCTCATTTCAAGGCAAAAATGTTTCATGTTATTTTTGTAGTCTACAATTTTTTGGGTTTTTTTTTAACCGCAGACCTCATAACATACAATCGTAATTCTGTACTTTAAAAAAGGTTGGTATAGAGCTGAATCAACATCGGGGGTGGGGGGGGGGGGCGTTTCAGGTGTTGTTTGGAACGGCCGACGGCCAGGTGATCGTGATGGACTGCCACGGCCGCATGCTGGCGCACGTGCTGCTGCACGAATCCGACGGCA